TCAGTTAAGAGCACGCGAAGTCTGCGCGAAGAAGGCCAACGCCGACAGTAGCATACCTTGCGGCAGACCGTCGTCGTCGAGCCCGAAATCCAACTACGAGCTTTTTAACTGCAACAACTTTACAATACGCTATTGGGCTGGAATTACCGCGGCTGCTGGCACCAGACTTGCCCTCAATTGGTCCTCGTTAAGAGATTTAAATTGTACTCATTCCAATTACAAGACTACAAAAAAGCCCTGTATTGTTATTTTTTGTCACTACCTCCCCACGTCAGGATTGGGTAATTTGCGCGCCTGCTGCCTTCCTTGGATGTGGTAGCCGTTTCTCAGGCTCCCTCTCCGGAATCGAACCCCAATTCTCCGTCACCCGTTGCAACCATGGTAAGCCACTACCTTACCATCGACAGTTGATAGGGCAGAAATTTGAATGAAACATCGCCGGCACAAAGTTAAAAGGCCATGCGATTCGAATAGTTACCATGAATCACCAATGGGTTTTGCGGCCGTGAAGCCGCATTGGTTTTTAATCTAATAAATACATCCCTTCCGCAAAAGTCGGGACTTTTCGCATGTATTAGCTCTAGAATTACTACGGTTATCCAAGTAGTAAGTGGTACAATCAAATAAATGATAACTGATTTAATGAGCCATTCGCAGTTTCACAGTACAAGTGCTTATACTTAGACATGCATGGCTTAATCTTTGAGACAAGCATATGATACTGGCAGGATCAACCAGTTAACTTCCATTGCTGAGATAAACTTAGGAACAGCATATATGCTAGAACCTGTTTTCGTTTATGTTTCTCTCACATGGAATTGCTCAACAAAAGAAAGAGCAAGTATCCATCTATTTGCCACGTCTTTCAAAGTCTCTCATTGCAATTGATGCAAGCATTGACATGAACACATACCCATAATGGTTCAATGTGCAGTATGTTTACAACAAATGCAAGTTTGTGAAGGAAGCATGATGAATTGCCTCCTTCCATACGCAACATTAGTTTAGTACATATCAGTGTCCATTGGAAAGAATGTACAACACTCACAAACCAAGTGAATCACCTCATCTGCGATAAAGTTTTTCCACAATTTTGCACGAAAGCAATGAAAGAGCAAAACCAAATCTACATTAGACCGACTGCTTAATCATCACGTCGCACAAACTACGTTTCTCATTTGTACTTATTTTGTGAAGCATACTCACCTCACATAATATACCAAAAAAGCAATTCCCTTTCCCAACACTTGGAGGGATAGACACAGAAAGGTCACCGTGACTCACTTTTCCCGTCTCAGAGAGCCCTTCTGATGGTCACCGTGACTCACTTTTCCCTCTCAGAGGCCTTGTGATGGTCACCGTGACTCATTTTCCCTCTCAGAGGCCTTGTGATGGTCACCGTGACTCACTTTTCCCTTCTCAGAGGCCTTCTGATGTTCACCGTGACTTATTTCTCCCTCTCAGAGGCCTTGTGATGGTCACCGTGACTCATTTTCCCGTCTCAGAGGCCTTCTGATGGTCTCCGTGACTCACTTTCCCCTCTCACAGAGGCCTTCTGATGGTCTCCGTGACTCATTTCTCCCTCTCAGAGGCCTTCTGATGGTCACCGTGACTCACTTTTCCCTTCTCAGAGGCCTTCTGATGTTCACCGTGACTTATTTCTCCCTCTCAGAGGCCTTGTGATGGTCACCGTGACTCACTTTTCCCTCTCAGAGGCCTTCTGATGTTCACCGTGACTTGTTATTCCCTCTCAGAGGCCTTGTGATGGTCACCGTTACTCATTTTCCCGTCTCAGAGGCCTTCTAATGGTCTCTGTGACTCACTTTCCCCTCTCACAGAGGCCTTCTGATGGTCTCCGTGACTCATTTCTCCCTCTCAGAGGCCTTCTGATGGTCACCGTGACTCAATTCTCCCTCTCAGAGAGGCCTTCGGATGTTCACCGTGACTTATTTTTCCCCTCTCAGAGAGGCCTTGTGATGGTCACCGTGACTCATTTTCCCGTCTCAGAGGCCTTCTGATGGTCTCTGTGACTCACTTTCCCCTCTCACAGAGGCCTTCTGATGGTCTCCGTGACTCATTTCTCCCTCTCAGAGGCCTTCTGATGGTCACCGTGACTCACCCTTCTCAGAGGCCTTCTGATGTTCACCGTGACTTATTTCTCCCTCTCAGAGGCCTTGTGATCACCGTGACTCACTTTTCCCTCTCAGAGGCCTTCTGATGTTCACCGTGACTTGTTATTCCCTCTGAGAGGCCTTGTGATGGTCACCGTGACTCATTTTCCCGTCTCAGAGGCCTTCTGATGGTCTCCGTGACTCACTTTTCCCTCTCACAGAGGCCTTCTGATGGTCTCCGTGACTCATTTCTCCCTCTCAGAGGCCTTCTGATGGTCACCGTGACTCACTTTTCCCTTCTCAGAGAGGCCTTCTGATGTTCACCGTGACTTGTTATTCCCTCTCAGAGGCCTTGTGATGGTCACCGTGACTCATTTTCCCGTCTCAGAGGCCTTCTGATGGTCTCTGTGACTCACTTTCCCTCTCACAGAGGCCTTCTGATGGTCTCCGTGACTCATTTCTCCCTCTCAGAGGCCTTCTGATGGTCACCGTGACTCAATTCTCCCTCTCAGAGGCCTTCGGATGTTCACCGTGACTTATTTTCCCTCTCAGAGGCCTTGTGATGGTCACCGTGACTCATTTTCCCGTCTCAGAGGCCTTCTGATGGTCACCGTGACTCACTTTCCCTTCTCAGAGGCCTTCTGATGTTCACCGTGACTTATTTCTCCCTCTCAGAGGCCTTGATGGTCACCGTGACTCACTTTTCCTTCTCAGAGGCCTTCTGATGTTCACCGTGACTTATTTCTCCCTCTCAGAGGCCTTGTGATGGTCACCGTGACTCATTTTCCCGTCTCAGAGGCCTTCTGATGGTCTCCGTGACTCACTTTCCCCTCTCACAGAGGCCTTCTGATGGTCTCCGTGACTCATTTCTCCCTCTCAGAGGCCTTCTGATGGTCACCGTGACTCACTTTTCCCTCTCAGAGGCCTTCTGATGTTCACCGTGACTTATTTCTCCCTCTCAGAGAGGCCTTGTGATGGTCACCGTGACTCACTTTTCCCCTCTCAGAGGCCTTCTGATGTTCACCGTGACTTGTTATTCCCTCTCAGAGGCCTTGTGATGGTCACCGTGACTCATTTTCCCGTCTCAGAGGCCTTCTGATGGTCTCTGTGACTCACTTTCCCCTCTCACAGAGGCCTTCTGATGGTCTCCGTGACTCATTTCTCCCTCTCAGAGGCCTTCTGATGGTCACCGTGACTCAATTCTCCCTCTCAGAGGCCTTCGGATGTTCACCGTGACTTATTTTCCCTCTCAGAGGCCTTGTGATGGTCACCGTGACTCATTTTCCCGTCTCAGAGGCCTTCTGATGGTCTCTGTGACTCACTTTCCCTCTCACAGAGGCCTTCTGATGGTCTCCGTGACTCATTTCTCCCTCTCAGAGGCCTTCTGATGGTCACCGTGACTCACTTTTCCCTCTCAGAGGCCTTCTGATGTTCACCGTGACTTATTTCCCCTCTCAGAGGCCTTGTGATGGTCACCGTGACTCACTTTTCCCCTCTCAGAGGCCTTCTGATGTTCACCGTGACTTGTTATTCCCTCTCAGAGGCCTTGATGGTCACCGTGACTCATTTCCCCGTCTCAGAGGCCTTCTGATGGTCTCCGTGACTCACTTTTCCCTCTCACAGAGCCTTCTGATGGTCTCCGTGACTCATTTCTCCCTCTCAGAGGCCTTCTGATGTTCACCGTGACTCACTTTTCCCTCT